ATTTCAGAGACTAGATGTTAGTCTAGCCTCCCGTGTGCGACCATAGAATTTGCCAGGTCGTCGTTGGAGGCTCAAAGGAGGCAGAATGGTTGCCTAGGTCGTTCCAAGGTGGTACACAGGAGGTTCAGACATCGCCATGAACGCCATGGTCGCCGTGAAGTTTTGAACATGTTTAAAACAGTCGCGCAAAGGTCGCCGAGGAGGTTGGTTGCTTAAAGGTGCCTCAAAGGGAGCAGAAGGGAAGCACAAGCATTGCCGTTGTTGCAGAATGAAGGCGCAGTGGTCGCCCAATGGTCGCCAGGTAAAAGATGCGTTCTGCTGCAATTTTCCCAGTCTTCCTCCCTTGTGCCTCCTTTGGACGACCAACAGCGTACATTGAACGATGGCTGGGGCGACAGCCGTGCCTCCATTCGGCGACCACGGCAACCCTTGAGACACCATGGCAATGCTTCTGTCTCTTTTCTGACTCCTTTGAACTACCTGTAGTGCCACCTCAGTCTGCCTATAAATGGAGGGTTTGTATCTGCAGTGTTTCATTGTGGTTGCAGACGCTGAACAACTCGAGCAGTTACTGCTGAACAACTACTGGAGCAGTTACATAGAAACATGATTTTCTGGGTTTAGGCGACCATTGAGCGTCCTGGCGAGTTTTTGATCGCTCTAATGTGGCACAAAGATCGCAGCCCTGTTTAAAAGGGCTTAAACAGCAAATAATTCGTGGCTATTTAACTGTGTACGGTCGGTTACCAATACTAAAACCTACCCGTGAGAATAAATCGATATACTATTTACCATGTAAGACGTTCAGCCATATCCGGGAAGAGAATACGTCTTAGGCAACCCGTGCTTGCTGTAACAGGCATGTTACCCAGGCTAGGGAGTTAACTGACTATAAAAGTGGAAACTGGACTTTTATAGTCAGTTACCTCTCTTGCCTCGGGAGTGAGTGAGTTTGTTTTTACGCCGCTTTTAGCAATATTCCAGCAATATCACGGCGGGGGACACCAGAAATGGGCTTCACACATTGTGCCCATGTCGGGAATCGAACCCGGGTTTTCGGCGTGACGAGCGAACGCTTTAACCACTAGGCTACCCGACCGCCCCTTTTTGCCTCGGGAACATGGTAAGAGGCGACTATGCTTATCGTGAGAGGCGACTAACGGGATCGGGTGGTCAGGTTCGCACTTAACAGAGTTATTGACACATAAGTATGAATATATTGTTTGTTTGTTGTTTAACGCCGCACTCAGCAATATTTCAGCTATATGACGGCGGTTTGTAAATGATCGAGTCTGGACTAGACAATCCAGTGATTGACATCATGAGCATCGATCCACGCAATAATTCCAGACTGAATTACTTACAGACCGCAATCATATAGCTGGAATATTGCTGAGTGCGGCGTTAAACAACAAACAAACAAGACAAAGCATAGTCGCCTTTTACGGCAAGAATGGGTTGCTGAAGACCTATTCTATCTTCACGGGTCCTATGTGAGTGTAATAATCGTGAACGCAGAGGTGTTAAACCCCATTTCACCACCTCATACCATACACAATATTTCATATAAATATTTGACAGTTCCAACAATTCTTTGTCGAGTCAGCTTAAACATGTATCTGAATAAAGACAACAACTATATTTCATAGAAGTAGCTGAGAAGTATGAACCCGTACAGTACTTTACAATTACTTCAATCTAACCCATGTTATAAATGAACTTACCATCAATAGAAAGCAGATTTTCGGCGTTTGTTTCGGAGGGCTGTTTGATTGGCATTCTAGAAGTTGGAAAATAATTAAGAAAAACTTACAACTTTATGGATAACAACTTCTGGTTAATTGTATATGGCGACGTCTCGATGTAGATAGAGTCTACGCCGTTATCAAGCTGGGGTGACAACAACCAAAATTCCTTTTATCCTTACTGTTTGTACATCTGGCTTCCACTACACGGGTGCTTCATTACCTGTGTGCTATTTGTTATTCTTACTGTACATCTGGCTTCCTCCAATTATCTGCATGCTACTTGTTATCTATTACCTGTTGTTGCCTATGTTAATCTGCTGCTTATCACAACATGTCATGCATGTATACCTCTCATCACTTGGTTGTTGTCACTCCACCTTGATAACGGCGTGACCCGTGAAGATTCCGGGGTAGAATAGGTCTTCAGCAACCCATGCTTGCCGTAAAAGGCGACTATGCTTGTCGTAAAAGGCGATTAACGGGATCGGGTGGTCAGGGTCGCTGACTTGGTTAATTTACGTCATCAATCCCAATTGCGTGGATTGATGCTCATGATGTCAATCACTGGCTTGTCTGGTCCAGACTCGATTATTTACAGACTGCTGTCATATAGCTGGAATATTGCTGAGTGTGGCGTTAAACAACAAACAAGACAGAAAGAAAGAAAGAAAGGATAACGGTGTACGTTATTCTTAAGCTTGGAGTGAGTGAGTATGGTTTTACGCCGCTTTTAGCAATATTTCAGCAATATCACGGCGGGGGACACCAGAAATGGGCTTCACACATTGTACCCATGTCGGGAATCGAACCCGGATCTTCGGCGTGACGAGCGAACGCTTTAACCATTAGGCTATCCGACCGCCCCCTTAGGCTTGGAAGACAGAGATATGAAAAAATATTGGTAATCCTAAAAACAGGTCAAACAAAGCCGTGTTTGAGTGCACTTGAAGATGATTTACGGGCCGCTTCTCTGAATAATGAAACAATTGTGTTTTCGGGTCTTCATTTGCGAGCGAGTGAGTGAGGGAGTGAGTGAGTGAGGGAGATAGTATCAAACGTGCACATGGCGACTAAAAAAAAAGCTATGATGACAGGGTATGATGGTGATAAGATGAGATAAATAATGTACTTTTGAAATGAAGACTAAATCATGCAGTCATGTACGCACACAGTACATTCCCTTGACTGGATTATTGAGAAAACTCGCTAAAATATTGGTTTAAATTTGTTTCGCAGATGAAATTAACATTCGTTTCATGAATTAGATAACAACAATGTTTGCAGATCAAATATAACTATTTATTTCTAAGTCACTAATATTGGGGATTTTAACAGAATAATATTTTGACACCAATTAAGTGTAATTACGCCTTAATATATTTGTACGACCTGATTGACAGATGTCACTCAAGGCCAGAGAGCGATGGTGTTTATGAAACTCCTAACACCCATGTCTTAATCCCAATCAAAACACTACTCGCTCGGAGAGGCACGTTGCGTGCGTTGCACCGGAGTTCGCGGGTAATTTGACACTGACCATATGATGTAATCAATTTCCCGTTTCACTCCAGACATCCCTTTGATCCTTTGTACAGTCCAGTATGCATGATCGGTCACGCGACTTAACACAGAAATACTGAGAAAATACAGGTTATAGATTTCCGGACCAATAGTACTCCTTAATTACTTCGTAAAATTAACCCGAGTGAGAAACTTAGGTAAAGACAACTAGCCGCACTGTTTTATTAAATGGAAGAATTATTAGATATTTATAAAGTAAATTAATGTTTGAGAAAGTTGTACAAGTCATGTAAATATTTAAATGGGATGGGGTTAACGAATACATCATCGACCATATATGAGTGATATATGTACAATCCACAATAAATTGAGCCTCCCAAGTCGTCTAAAGGGGCATTCACACGGTACAACTAGTTGCATACGTCAAAAGTTGGACAGAATTACCCGTTCACACGGTGCAATGTGTTGCATGCAACAAATTGTATACAACTAGTTGTACCGTGTGAATGCCCCTTAAGACGCCGCAGTTCACCGTAGAGTTACGTCCCTTGGGCAGGTCAGAAACCTATGATCGAGGGTTCGAATCCTAGTTCGACAGGATTATGTTTCTTTATTAGTCAGCACCATACCCTTTGCTCGTGGGTTTCACCGAAGTGGTAAACGTCTGAGACCTGCATCACTTCGGGCTTTCCTCCCAAGCTGACACGTCGTGGCTTGAATACTGTTAAACTCAAATCACTTACAATAAAATTGATTTTTAAATTTTTTTCTCTCAGAGGATAAGCTATGAGGATAATTTGATTTTGTTGTTGTTGATAGTATTTCAGACATCAGCGTAACAGAACATCGATATTATCTCAAGTTGAATGAAAATATCGCATCTATTGTCGGAATTAAAAAAACACACTCATTCTTTGCTAAAGGGGCAGTTTTATTACACGACTATATGACATACCGACATTGTTCCTTCTGACTGACTGGGACGGTCGGGTAGCCTAGTGGTTAAATCGTTCGCTCGCCTCGCCCAAGACCCGGGTTCGATTCCCCACAAGGGTACAATGTGTGAAGCCCGTTTCTGGTATCCCACGCCGTAATATTGCTAAAAGCGGCGTAAAATCACACATTCCCACTCTGACAGAAGTGTTTCATATTGAACGAAACCCAGCTGAAGTGTTCCAAGGAATCTATTCACAACCACCAAAAACAGATTTTATGCTGAGGTCCGAAATTAGGTTGCTTGAGGATATATACTTATAGATCTAGGCAGATCACTGATTTCTTGGGGATTATCATTTTTTTCGGTACATAAAATAACCGAAACTTTCTTTGTTTGCTATTAACACGCAAGGGCGTTACATAACTATAATAACCAGTTCATTACAGTATATACCAAAACCACTCATTTGAATATCTAATAATTCATTTTATGATGATCAAAATAATTCTGCTCGCGCACATATTTTCATGCTTAATTTTATACGCCATAAAACGTCTAACTTTGGCGTTCTCGCCCTGTAGTTGTGAATAATTATATATATCTATTAAATTTTCATCCTTTTGTAATTTTCAACAAAGATGTTAATTTTTAAAAACCGTCTACTTTAGATACGAATAACTATATATAAAAGTGAAATGTCAAAGGACATATTTTTGGAATGTGCTCATGCACGAATGATTTCACCTGCATCATCGAAAATATACACGTGAAATAACTTTCTGTCAGCCATTTTGGATTATCAAGATAACGTTCAAGAAGCAACTATCAACAAATATGAAGCGAGTTTATTTTGAGGACCCCCGAACACCAACAAAACAGGACATTTGTACTCGTATGGTATGGGAGCGACTCAAGAGGAGGTAATTCTGAATTACAGTGGCGCTAGTGGGCGCGATTTCATTGGCTGCTTGAGCCTCTGCGCAGCAAATTCAAACCCCGGAAATCTAGCCGCTCTGGTATTGTTTGGGTAATGGCTTTCAGGTAATTGTACTGTTTTGAAGAAAGAAATCACGTTATTTCCATGAAAATGAAGCCACAGTGAGTATTAGAATTTAGATTGAGATGCAAGATGCTTTACTTTCAAGATGTGGTCTTCCCAAGACCGCGATTGTCACTTTTGTAAACGAAAAGTTCAAACAATTGACGATATTGTCGGACATGAATGGGGAAAAAACGGGAAGACTTTGTGACACAAATCGTCTTGACACGTTTTAGGGGATTTCCTAACTCTGACTAGATCTACATTTGTGATTGTTGATTTTGATGACAAGTATATCTTTCTGTGTCATCGGTAAATAAATATTGATACGATTGCATGTGTTTGTCGTTTAGTACCAGTTGTTCACATCAATGCAGATAATAATAGATTCGGCAAGTTGCTCTTGACAGTGACGAATTTAATACACATATAAACCTGCACTGACCTATACATGACAAGTAGACAAAAGGGACCTAATACATTCACTAAAATTCATGAAACCTCTGGGACAAGTCCAAATTTACTAACCAGGTACCTGACCCTAACCAGGTACCCGCTGTAGGTCTCATGAGTTGTGCAGAAATTTCAACCAGGAATTGTTTACCGTACACGCGCTGCACACATTATACCAGACACCTATCCACCATGTTTGATGCTACTAATAAAGCCCCACGCGACAGGATCACTATTTGAAAAATAGGGCGATAAAGCTCATGTCCCTGAAAAAATGTCCCCACACCATCATTGCCATAAGAAGTGCATTGGTGCTTAGAAAATTGACAAAGTGGGATGCCCCTTAAATTTGTGGGGGCGGACGGGTAGCCTAATGGTTAAGGCCTTTGCTTGTCACGCGGAAGACCCGGGTTCAATTCCCGACTTGGGTACAATGTGTGAAGCCCATTTCTGGTGTCCCCTGCCGTGATATTGCTGGAATATTGCTACAAGCGGCGTAAAACCGAATTCACTCACTCAATTAAATTTGTGTTTTGTAATCAACCTTCAATTCTATTTTTTTCTTGCAGGAGAGGAAAGACCCCTCGGAAGAGAAATGGGACTCAACAGTTTGATCCAGTTGAGGTTGGTTGAAAGTTGACCCTTGACCTCGTAAATTGTAAATAGGAGATAAACGTCAACTGTTAAATTTAGCACGGTTAAATCTACAGGCAACCTAGTTCTTCATTGAAACCACGGTATGTTATCTCCATTCTACCATGACAAGACAAAACGCAAACTGTTTGGTCTTAGCAAAGATATTGTGTGAAGTGACATAGTCCAGTGTTTTGAGTGGGGTGTTGATCAGAAGTCAGGAACCATCACACGACAGCTGTTAAACAAAATATTGCGATATATATCTGCCCTCTCACTAAGTACCGACCATTTTGGTGCCCAAACACGACTGAAATCTATGATGGGCGACCTAATTTTATCTACTGCTCGCCACTACCTAAAAGTAAACATAACTGGCAACAATATCTGTTTAAGATATAGTTTGGTTCCTAAAATATTCATGTAGGAGCCGCTTGGCTCCCTAACAAAAAAATGAACTAAGAGGGCTGTATATGCTCAAGCAGTTTGTTAACGACATAAAAGGTACTTCACACAGACTTATGACAGGCACTGAAAGCTGACATGAGGTGGGCACCCTTAAACATGTTAAAGAAGCAAGCCTTCAAACATTTCGTTCTGGACCGGATGTCACTCAATGCATACTCATTAAAATCAGATCTTAGTTTTCGCTACCGCTAAACAAAGATCTGAGGACGTCCCATTACGGGTCACGTCAGAATGACCTTTCGCAAATTTTGACCGACCAATGAAATGACTGACAAGAAATCGACATTGGCCAATCAGAAGGCAGCCTTCTCGAGCTTTACGACACTAGTTTCAAACTGGCCCCTACTCTTCGAAACATACTTTGAAGTATTCTCGATAAATTTTTTAAACCTGATAAGAACATTCTGGAATGGCTTATAGATGGCATAGATTGTATCAATAATCCAGACTTGAGATTGCGAAATGGTAGACTGGATAATTGAGACTATCTATTACATCATCAACATGGAACGTTAATGAAAACAGTGTGAAGCGTGTGCTGTTGACATGGTTTAGACAAGAACCCAGTCCATCCAAATGACTCTAGATAGTATGATTTATATAATTATTCATTAATTCTTCTGTGGCCTTATTTGTAAATATTGAGACGCAAGAGTATAATGCTGATGGCCATTTTGCAGTATACTACACTATACTACAAGTATACCAGTTATATTGCATACCCTGAATAGTAAGTTGGGTCGCGTATACTGTGAAAATGTACCAATTAACTCTCCTCAGTAATAACCAATAATAAAATCAGTTGGACTACCGGTAACGACACATGTTACCACGGTTACACCTTGGACTATTTCAGGTATATTGTCGTATTCGGCCCTTGGAAAATCCAGAGGAACCACTATGTGTCAAAGTCTTGAATAATAAAGTTGTGGAGCTGACCCCATCCGAGGTAAGTGGGCATGGCACGCACAGGTAGCAAAGTTTCACTGCGGATGCATGCCTTTTCTAAATGGCTGTTTGAAGTGTTTTTCCAACTTTAGTATACGGTCTTCAGTCAGTGAATGCTTTCAGCAGGTTTGGAGTTATTAGTATTACCTTTGCACAGTAGAAGTAGTTTTCAAGAGCACAAAAAAGCAGTTCTCATACACTGATGCGATACCTCTTAAGAGTGTAAATCTGTCTACTCCATAGGGGTCACATATTAACTCGTTGTTATTTATAATATCTTCAGGCCAGTGTAGGGGGCATGGGTGGCCCAGTTGTCTAAGGTGCAGCAATTCCATGCACAGAGTTGTGTCCCTTGGGCAAACCAGAACCTATGTTCAAATGCTGGCCCGCAGTGATTGTTTCGAGAATTGTCAGCACCATACCCGTGCTCCTGGGTTTCACCGAAGTGGTAATTGTCTGAGACCTGAATCACCTCTCATTACCCCCCACATTAACTCTTTCAACACCGTAGGCCGGTTATCCGGCCAAGAAGCATCGAGTCCCCAGACACCGCAGGCCGGTTATCCGGCCAAGCCGTAGTCACGTCAAAATAGTATATATTTTTATGGACCTACCTGTAATGTCATTCATTTATTAAATCTATCACATTTCACAATGTCTGAAATACATATTCCATTTCAATTTAACATTTTTTATCGTTAAATTAAAAAATTATTCACTATTTCTCGCGATGTTATTGAAAATAAAATTCTCGGACACACATTTCGACAACGGGTCCACATCGAACACGTCAAAGAGGAAAATAAAGACGTTTTAAACAAATCTTTAAATATATTATACAAAGTAATAAATAAAATCAACAAAAATATATCTAAAAGTAATCAAACTTACATCTAAGTTATTATTTCCATCTTTTCGTTCGATCGCGTGTAATGTAAGTCAAATGACATCTCGGCTTTCGTCGCCTTGAATTCTCGGCTCGGACACGATGTTTAATGCAAAAATATATGCATGAAAAATCTTTGTCACAGCTCGTAACCTAGCACGATACATTCACGAAGTTCCATATTTATAATATATATCGTGATTTCCTGCTCAAAACGTTCAGAATAACACGATTTAACAAAATTCTTTCGCAAACTTCTGTAATTTATCGAACACGAGCTTGGTATCACAGCTGTAATTTGATTGGCTGCCTTAGGTCACGTGCTCAAAATTGACCAATCACGAAACTTGTAGCAGATTTCAGCAAGAAAGCGTCATTAGAAACCAATTTTAATCCAATGAAATCGCTTGTTATAACTACGAAAAAAAACCAGTCGATGTTACGAGCGTGTAGATGAAGGAATAAGCTTTCCAGCGATGTGTCATATGCCATTCTTCGACGAACGTGTTATTCATACGAAACCTCGAAAACGGGGGTATTTCTTCATTTTACTGAGCGGACAGTCGCTGTTATCGTGAAATGGGTGATGACAGAAACTATTTATAATTCTTTTTAAAATGATTTTCCAATTACGTAAACAATGAAAATAAAACAGAAATAGGTACGTGGATATTATGAAATCATATATTTGCCGAAAATCGTCAAGTTTTCGCTTCCTTGGTCCTTAATCTGGATGTTAACAACGTGTTAGCGTACATTTTTTATTACAACGAATTTAATTAAGTTGTAAATGCATTATTTTAAATAATTTGAAAAATATAACTTTCAAATTTATAAACCATAGGATCAGACCTTTCAAATGGTGTATAACATGTAGTAGCAAATATATTTTACAAGCAGGTATTTTCTTTGATAAATGTTGGCTTCATCTATCACACAAGAGTCTCTGGGAACTCGGTGTCCCAGCAGTAAACACTTCTGGTTGACTGGTGTTGAAAGAGTTAAGCTGACATGCCGTAATATCACTGAAATACTGTTCATGCGACGATAAACCCAAACTTACTGACTCACTTTTGAAAGCCAATTTATTATTTGATCTCTGGCATCTCATCCATTTTTCCCTCAAGATATGTAAGTGAAGACAGTATTTTATTTGTTGTTTAATGCCATACTCCTGCAATATTCCATCTATGAGACAGCGGTCTGTAAATAATCAAGTTTGGACCAGATAATCCAGTGACTGACACCATGAGTATCAATCCATGCAATTGGGATGCGATGACATGCATCAACCAAGTAAGCGAGTCTGACTACCAGATCCCGTTAGTCACCTCTTCCGACAAGCATAGGTTCCTGAAGATCAATTCTAACCTTGATCTTCACTGGGGAGACAAGCATGGGTTGATGAGGAACAGTTCTAACCCGGATCTTCATCGGCCTGAATACAAAAATGAAGACGGGGAGTCGGCGGACACAATGTGTGACTGTGCTTATTGAGGATCAGTTTGTCCCAGTTGTTGCTGATGAAGGGTTAGAATACCGTATATTGCTGTGTATAAGGCGTTTTTTTAATATCTTGAATTAGGGGGCTTTCAAGGGGGTGTCGTCTTTATACACAGGGTTGAAGAGTTTTGATGTTTTTCCCCCCAAAACAGACATAACTGAGAGCACGTAACACCGTAAATACCATGTCAACAAATCCATAATGAAGTACGCAAACTAATCATGTAATTACACTGTCTGGTTATAAAAACAGTTCATTATATATCTGGACTTACCTTTACAAGAAAATACAAACGGTAATCTTAATATCTTCATATAAAACAATGCCTTTCAGAACAGGAAATACAATTTATTCGGTAAATGATCATGCCTAGTGTTTTTTTTATCTCAACTTTTAAATTTGTATTGAATAAAGTTTAATTGTTATGATCTGTTCGTTTCCCTGATCGCTAAAGTTAAACGATGTAATTTTTTTCTGCGGAAGACAAACACGTTTTTATTGCAAATGTGGGGATTGTGTATACGCTGCGGCTTCATTCCAATTCGCTTTATAGACGGTATATAAATTAGCATCGATTTTAAAGTACAGGGGGGTCGTCTTATACTTGGGGTTGCTTTATAGATGGCGATATACGGTAGGTCTCCGACAACCTGTGCATTTCTTACTGGGCCACTTTGTGGATTGAGTGGTCATACTCTCTGACTTGGTTGATTGCGTGTAATCGTATCACTGACTGTGGAGTGTTGCTCATGATATCAATCACTGGTTTGTCTGGTCCAGATTCAATTATTTCCAGACTGCTCTAACTTGTAATGTAGCTGCATATTACTGTGTCAAACAACAAAGTAAAGTGATTAGGATCTTGTATGTGATTAGAACAAGCTGAACATGTTAAAGCTGATCATGATAACAGATAAACAAAAGTATCAAAATATTTCTAAAAGTTTAAATAAAAATTCTGAGGAAAAGTAATTTTACAGTGGTATATTCCTATTTGAGGATTTTATATGTGAGTTAACTTTCAGCTGTACATGGGGAGACGCCAATGGGATATGGAAGCAGTAAGTCGGTGCCCCCGTGTCTGGCATGAACTAGATTTAGTCTGCTTCAGTTTGCTTGGTGTGGCTTGTACTAGTTGTAGTTGGATTCATTCACTAGGTTCATGTTCATCTTAGAGTCTTCTGTAGATTTCATGTTGTAAGATGCTGGGTGAGACTTTAATGTTTCTTTTTGGATACTTTTCACATGGTGAATGCATACTCACAAAACACTTGACATTTAACAATAATAATTTCTTTTTCCGAGAGGGTGAATATTAATTGAACACCTTTTTTTTTTACCTTTATCTGTTTCTGCTCTTGAATAAAACAGCAAAAAAATTCAAAAGTCTGCCAAAACTATACTTAAAACATGAGAATCTACAGAAAGTTTCTGGATTTTGTTTTAGATTGTTTTTGAAAGAGATCTTTCTTTTCTGAGGTTTTGGGGTATTTAAGATATTTGCCGAAAATAACCTGAGAAAGATTTCATAGTCCACAGCTCATTTCAGACTATCAGGCTTCCACAAAAAATGAAAGTCTGACAACTGGTAGTCTAGATCACGTATGAGAATCTGTACTTTACTTAGAAAATATAATATTTGTTACATTTGAACACTTTCTGATTGACGTGTGTGTTTATTGCTTATGGGAGCCGTGCCAATTTACACTTGTCAGAGGGGTGCACAAAGTATGTAATCAAGACTGCCAGTTGTCGGACTTTCAGTTTTGTGGAAGCGTCGGTAGCTGTGTGGGTTAGATCGCTGACTTTGTGTGCTGGCACTCTGGCAGTGTGGGTTCGAATCCCGGACAGGACTCAACCCCAAAAAGTATGAGAATCTGTAACATTTGTTACATTTGACCACTTTCTAAATGGCATTGCAGAGCTCCAGATAACCTTTTGAGCAATTGAGATGAAGGTTTTTATTTTAATTGGGTTATTACATTTTTCATTGGGTAACCAATATTTTTTCACTCATCCATTCATCACTCCATTTGGTTTTTCTCAAAATGAGCTAACATTTCGATATTTCAAAAAAAATAAAATAATGTTTCATGTATGTAAGGGTTCTAACTAAAAGTTTGACTCGAAAAGTAAATTAGCTTGTAAGTTTGTTTCGGAAATTAGCTCCATTGGATATATGCTGAAAAAGCTTCATTGGGTATTACACATACTGTTTTTATACATTTGAGTTTTTCATTTAATGCTTGTGTTTCTGTACGCAAGTTAATTAAAGGTAATTGGGTTTTGAATATTATGGGGGGGGGGTATTTAACGCATATACGGAGTTCATCTGTAGCCCTGGCATCGTGTGTGTTCAAATATCTCAAATTTAGCTGTGAATGAAAACTGTCTCAATCTGTACATTGTTTTGCATTCTTTTTCTTGCTTCCTAGACCAGGTTGTCCAGTGTGGTTGTTGTACCTTAGTTGCTTTGTGCATGTTGTTCTAACTTGTGTTTTCTGCCTTTGTAGACCGCTGTTAATAGGAACGGACAAGCCAAGGAGGTAGGAGCTTGTTGTGAAGTGTTGTTGATGGGAACATTCCGAGTGTGTGAATGTAGACAGCGTTCCCGCTGGCTTTGAAAATGCCAGTCCTAGTGGACTTTCAACTCTTAAAATTACCAGTCCCCCTAATTTTTGTCAGTCCCAGCTTACACCCTTCCCCCCCCCCAAAAAAGACGTGAAAATTAACTGGCTTTAATTCTTTCAACATCATATTTAAAGAAGTAATGCCGTCATCTCTGAACATGCTGAAGTAACTTAGTTAGATCTACAAGTCATCCACACAAAGTTCAGTCACAATTTCCTTCTTTTTTTTTTACAATTTTTCGAGACTAAGTCACTACAAATATATATTTAATCTTGAAGCTAAGGGAAATGTTATTTCCTTGCACTAAAACTAGACAAGGGGAAACCCTGATGGTAACAGACAAGCTGACTTCGTTAGAAAAATATGCTATGAATATCGCCGATGATATGTTCAACAACAAAGATTTAGAAGGTACTTTATTTGCCGGTCCACAGGGACTGGCAGTGACATGAATAACCGGTCCAAGCCGAATTTTACCGGTTAAAGACTGGTAATTACCGATAAATGGGAGCACTGGTAGACCAAAGATACAGCATGCTGTGTGGTTATAGAAATGAAATTTTTGTAGTAAGTTTGGTGATTTGGCTCCTGACAAATGGCAGTAGACAATTTTCATGATGTTATCCAATTTTGATAGGATATTCTTATGTGTCATTACTAGGGCTGTTACGATTCACTTGCGTATTCAGTGAATTGAACTGCATCTCTTCATGAATTGAATTTGTGATATTCGAATATATACGTGATACATATCGTATGCGCCTCATAGTGTATTCGTTGCAGCCCTTATCATAACCAATTTGAAAAATCTTTAGGACATTTTGGATGACAGTTAAAGTCCTAGACAGGAGCAAGAGAACAGATCTGACACCGCGTATATGTTCAGTTTTGGTTTTAGGATCTTGATATAGATCTCCAACAGCAGTATGGAGTAGTGGTAGGCACAGTTGTATCCAAACAGCTTGTTGCTTGTTTTAGCTATTGGCATTAAGTATTGATTCATGTGAAAAAAGGGGCGGCTCGTCACGCCAAAGACCCAGGTTAAATTCCCAACATGTATACAATGTGTGAAGCCCATTTCTGGTGTCCCCCGTCGTGATATTGCTGGAATATTGCTACAAGTGGCGTAAACCATACTCACTCATGTGAAAAAAATGGTACTTGATTTTGGCAGAACACTAGTCCTTCCATCTTTTCACATCCCCCGGATGAGTGTCGAAAGCTGTTGATAAAGTTTTAAGAATAGTTCATGGAAAGTTGGCCTAAATGATAAAAGTGTTTGTTTTTAATTCAGAAAGCATTACAGACTGAAATTGTATCAATTCAACCCTGAACTTTTAACTTTGTGTTGTAAATATGTTTTATGTCTGGAATAATTCTTAGGCTGATATGATTTTGAAAATTAAATGCAAGAATCAAACCTGTTTTTCCCAACCTAGTGTCTAGATCTTTTCACATATTTAACATGACTGATATTTGCTCGTATTTTATTTGTTTTTTTCCGGCTGCATGATAAGGCTGAATTATTTATCAGACAACATGATGCAGATTTACTAGGATAAATATGCATGTTGGTGATGTTCTGTGTGCTGTGCTTTAGATCAACGCTAGTTTGGTGGTTTTCTTAGATTTAGAGATTTGTGTCTTTGTGTATATAGTTGCTCTAGTGAGTGTTAGTTGTTTGCATTTTTTACTTTTTTTTAATCTACTAATTTTGTGCTGGTGCTTTTCAGCATTTCATCTTGTGTCTAGATGAGGAATATTTGATCATTCTATTAAGCGCAACATGTGCTATGGCCTAATGCTTTAGAGCATTTTCATTTAAAAAGTAAAACATTCAATTTTAAATTAAACGCCAACAGTTGTGTTAGGCACTGCAATTCACAGTGCAGAGTTAAGTCCCTTTGTAGTGCCAGAAACGTATGATCCCAGATTATGTACCTAGGTTTGCACCATTCCTGTGGTCATGGGTTTCACCAAAGTGGAAACCCGTGAAGATCCGGGGTAGAATAGGTCTTCAGCAACCCATGCTTGCCGTAAAAGGTGACTATGCTTGTCGTAAGAGGCGACTAATGGGATCGGATTGTCAGGCTCGCTGACTTGGCTGATGCATGTCATCGTATCCCAATTGTGTAGATTGATGCTCGTGATGTCAGTCACTGGATTGTCTGGTCCAGGTGCAATTATTTTCAGACAGGCGTGATATAGCTGGAATATTGCTGAGTGCGGTGTTAAAAGAAATAAAAATATAAACCAAAGTGGTAATCATCCGGACTTTCCTCCCACATCAAGTTGAGACTCTGTGCTATGACAGAAGTATTGGTCAGGGTAGTGTTAAATCCAACTCTCTCTGGGGTAACAATGATTCTGAAATTGAACCAACTTGATTAAACCATAATTAATTTATGTAATAAAAATATTATTTAGTTTAGCAACATTATCTGGTGAGAAGCTCTGAAATAGTTTGAAATAGTTTTGATAAATTTAATAGATCTCTATTTGGAAACTCAAATGTTTCAGTTTCTTTGTGATCAAAAACAATAGCTTCGTTATTCATTATTATGTGTTTGGCCTTGGATGCCTGGTTAGAATAGGGCAGAATAGACCTGGGCAGGTCGTCAGAGGCGACCAAATGCATCAGGTGGTAAGGCTCGGAGATCTGGTTGATAGCGTGTCCTCGTAACCTGAAAATGAAGAACGTTGTTCACAATATCAAATCCCTGGATTGTCTGGTCCAAACTAGAATATTTACTTCCTGCCGTCATGTAGCTGGAATATTGCTGAGTGCGGTGATAAACAACACTAGACGGATCGAGACGCTACTTTTCAGGAATCAGTACATTGTACGCACTATATCAGAAAGAAATGTCCGGGTTTTGGAAAGTGAAACTCATAAAAGGCAGAACCAGAACCGAATTTAGCATGCAAAACAACAGTCTTTAGAGTCAGGCTGATTATTAATATCATTCTCTTTCTGAACCCAATTCTGATTAACATTCTCACAACAACAAAGAATACAAGGGAATTGCCTATAGTATAGTTGTGTTAATACAACTGTTTCTTTTGGTTAACCTTGAAATATCTGTAATGTCCTTGCAATAGTAAAAGTCTACCAGTATTCTGCATGTACAACTTGCCCTACTTTCTACCCCAGATACAGTACACGTTCCAGCACATATTTGACGAATACACCTCCCAGAAAGCCATCTACGACTATGTGGCCCTGCCTCTCATAGAGGACCTGATCCATGGCAAGAATGGTATGTACTGTGACTGGCTAGTCTCCTTTATAAGAATTCCACATTATTGTTTAGTTAATCCTTCCATTTCATGGAGCATGGTTTTATGTGGACCTGCTGAGAGGCTGAGGCTCAGTGGCCCTAAGCCTGAACAGATGTCCGTAAACATGCCCAAATGGCAATAAAATAATGCAAAGCTCCAGATAATTTTTCAGCATCAGGAGGATGTACTCCTTGTTATTTTAATATAGGAGTAAACTAGAGTACACTTAGTGTGCTGAGAAGAGTCCATGGTCTCTGTCACGTGTAAACAGGTTAAACAATAAATAAATAATACTTTTTTCATTATTTCTTTTGGTGGGGGGGGGGAATTAGAGTCCTGTATTCGACGTGAAAAAGCGCCCCGCTCTAATAAGCGCCCACGGCGATATTTGCTAATATATTGGATAGCGAACAAACCCAATTAGCACCCCTTTCGATTGATCAATGTACACTGGACTTATTTATTCACGTATTATACGCACTCGTGTGTAACATGCACCCTTAATTATGGGCAAATAAATTCTGGAAAAATATATGTCGTATATAAACATTTTAGGCTGTCAGCATAAACGACGAAATTTATCTTTTAACTCTGTTTTTTTCACCAAAATAATATTCTAATAAGAGCCCCCTATTTCTAATTTTGAGAGCTCCCTAGGCGCTTATTACGTCTAATACGGTATTAGAATAATATTTGGGTGTTACATGCTCAAAGTAATCATAGTAATGTCTTTGCGTTGGCGTAAAAAACATTGAAACTCATTATGGCATGTTTCATGTGCACCCACTTTACACAGCTGTTCTTTTTGAAAAAATTGTGCACTATTCTCAAGAAAATACGCTGCTTGAAATCAGAATATATATTTTGGGAAATGTGTCTATAAATGAATGTTAGACCATTACATGTATGCTGCAACGAGTATCTGATACGTATTCTAAATTATCCCCCACCGTATCGTGCATATTGTTTTACGTACATTTGCCGATACAGCCTTTATAGGAAACCCTGGGGTAGTGATAAACCACTCTCTCACTCACTGTTAAGCATTGCTTACGCAACTCAACATTTGGTTTACTTTCAGGCCTCCTGTTCACATATGGCATCACATCGTCAGGGAAGACGTTCACCATGACAGGCAGCCCCCAAGACCAGGGTATTCTGCCACGATGTCTGGACGTTCTCTTCAATAGCATTGAGGGCTACCAGGCCAAGAAATATGTACGTTAACAGGAACCACACTTCCAGCCGGTGCCAAGGAACCCTTTACTATATGCTATTCAAAAGAAGTTAAAGAATACCCCATTCTTCCATAGTACTAGAGTTATGTGGCATGGTTTTGAGTAGCATACAAACCTAACCTTTGGCATAATTTTCAGATTTTATTCTGACCATAATGACTAGGGGTGTCATGATAAATCCAAATATCGATATACTGCTATTGTCAATAAATTGATTGTTGAATCAGTTTCCGATCAATAGTGTCGATTTCAGATATGAATATTGATAGTTTCGCTTGTAATTTCCATTGCATGCGATTGAGTCACCGAAACATGCTCTCAAACGCAGCCGAGTGAGGATTAGAGTTAACTGCCCTTGAAGCTTAGCAATCGGTCTTTCTTAAACTTTTAAAGTAAAATGGCGGAGGGCAGTCAAGTGGAGTTTGTGACAAACTTGGGTGGAAAATCGAGTGTTTGGAAGCCTTTTGGCTAAGTTAAAGAAAATAACAAGCTTGACAAGAAACGTGTTGGATGCCGAAAGTGTTTAATTCAACTCTAAAATCCATCTAAAATGATACACTGAAAACTATTGATATTTATCGCAATAGTTGCTTGCAATATGAATAGTTATCGCAATAGTGATTTCCAGACCAATAGTCACCCCTAATATTGACTATTGGCTAAGCTTCACAGACTGAAACAAAATTTAAAGACAGGTTTTGTCAATGTTATCAAGGTTGGAATTTTTTTTTTTGTTCAGACAAATGTCCTGTTATAATTTACTTCTACCGTCTGTGGGTGCTTACCCAGAATATTGAAGACATTTGTTTCTTTTGTGTTTAGGCTATTTGTTTCATATTTAGGCTATTTACTTGTATGAAGTAATTATGGTTTCCGGAGATTCTAAATCATGCATCGTTCCTAACAATGTGCTATTCTCACTTGAAGTTTGAATGAAAATATTTTAGTGTTTCCACATCTTAAGAATAGCTACAGCATGTACAGGAGAAAGAAAAGTCCTATATTTATGTGTTTTGGGGCAGATATTCCGACCAGACAAGATGAACGCATTTGAAGTGTGCACAGAGGCCGACGCCATGATGGAACGCCAAAGAAGAGAGATCCTTCCCGGTCTGACCACGCCCAAGACCCCATCTACCCCCAGACACACGTGAGAAGCTAGCATTTGTGAATCTGTGTCTGCAAACAGGTCTTTGAGCACCATAATTAAAAACATGAAAACATTTGGTAAAAATATCTGTCCATTCCCAGTGCAAATCCTGCATTTGACTAAAATATGCACCTTGAAATCCATGTTGTTTACGAAGCGGATGTCTAGTTCGTTCGTCCAGCCACAATGTAACTCTGTAATTCCAGCCTATTTCGGCAGGTAGAAACTGGTCTTTTATCTTCAGTTAACTCCCTTGCCTCTGGAAGATGGCATGTGTGGGTGTGATACAGAGGAATCCTGGGTTCAAATAGACCCCCGGCAACCTATGCTGGTCATAAGACGCAACCCAATTAAACAGGTGGTCAGATTCGGTGGCTTTGTTTGATCGCTAGGCATGTGTACCCTACGGTGTGGGAATCCTGGGTTCAAATAGACCCCCGGCAACCTATGCTGGTCATAAGACGCAACCCAATTAAACAGGTGGTCAGATACGGTGGCTTTGGTTGATTGCTAGGCATCATACCCTACGGTATGGATCCTTGTTCGTGATATCAATCCACCCGTGAAGATCCAGGGTAGAATATGTCTTCAGCAACTCATGCTTGTCGTAAAAGGCGACTAACGAGATCGGGTGGTCAGACTCCCTGACTTGGTTGATGTATGTCATCGTATCTCAGTTGCGTGGATTGATGCTCATGATGTCAATCACTGGATTGTCTGGTCCAGACTCGATTATTTACAGGCCGCCATCATATAGCTGGAATATTGCTGAGTGAGACAAACAAACAAACAAACAAACAAACAAATATGGTATCGATCGATCGGCTATGGTCCTGGGGTTGGAATGACCCGCCAGATGTTTCAAATGGGCATCAAATAGTTACATTACACCTGCAAATCTAAAAACACATAATGTCTTTCTCCCAACTGACATGAATTGGCAAATATTTATTTCAAAGGAATAAGTCATGTATTTAAGTTAACAAACATTTTTGAGATGAGATTGATCATGAGACAATGGTACTCAGTGGTCTGTGAAGCAGTGTGCCTTTTCTCCCCAGTGAGAGGGTGGCGTTTGGGGGGGATAGCGGCCGGAACCGAGACCCGTCCAAAGTTGGCAACATAGAACAAGACAATAACTACGGTGTGTTCGTCTCCTACATTGAGATCTACAACAACTTCGTCTACGACCTACTGGAAGAACTCCCATATGATCCAATCACCGGCTATAAGTAAGTCCTCGATCTTCAAAACTCTTATCAAATTTGAAAAAGAACCATACATTTTTTAATGTGTGTCTTTACTGGACTGAATAGGCCTTTGAGTAGTGTTCATGCATTTATCCAGGATTCCAAACTAAGTTTTGGAAAAACATATTTTTTTGCTGAAATTGGCTAGTGAAATACAAGTGACCGATCATGCAGTCAACAGCTTGAATTAAATGCTTTCAAAAGTAAAAGTAATATTGAATTACCACAGTTATTTCAAACACGTGTTTGTTGAAATGTGGCCCCGATGGATGTCACTTTTAACGTCTGGATTGAACTTTTCGAGTACTTTTGATATTTTGATATCCATTTTATTGATGTTTGTGGATTGCTTTCATATTCAATTTAAGGTTTAATCCTATGAAACAATTCAAATGCAGCGTCATTTTTTTAGCAATATCCCCCCTATTTGTCAAATACTGATGCTGTGCGACTATATTACTTTTATCAGTGCATGTGTACTCATGCTTCACATACGACTAGGCCTAGCGAAAATGTTGAAGCAAAAATCTGCATAATGTTACTATTAACATGACTCTTTTTCACACTTTTTTATCAACTGATTACTCCAAAGTTTCAATTAGGGTTGGCATCTCTGCAATGCTTGTTGTCAAACGCGACTAACAGGATTGGATGGTCAGGCTCGCTGACTTGGTTGATGCATGTCATCGTATCCCCACCATACCAATTGCGTAGATCGATGTTCACGATCTCAATCACTGGATTGTGCGGTCCAGACTTGATTATTTACATATCACATATTCCTGGAATATTGCTGAGTGTGGTGTTAAGCAATAAGCATGATAAGCAAGCAAACAAACAGTCAATAACTCTAAGCTTTTTCTTACCTAACTGCATCAATAATCCCTGTGTGATGTGTAATGTGTAATTTGTCGGGCTTTTGGGGCCTGGACGTCATCAAACTGTGGGTGCTTTTAGTTTTACACTGGTAAATATATGGGACCAGGTTGCAATCTGGTTGTGTCTAGTGCAACAACATTTCATGTCGACACGCATGTTCCTTCAATCAAGTCCTGTTAAACTGTTTTTCAGACCGCCACAGTCAAAGATCCTGCGTACGGACATGACGGAGAATATGTACGTCCACAACTGTGTGGAAGTGGAGGTGAAAAGCCCAGAAGATGCGTTTGAAGTCCTGTACAAAGGTGGGTAGTGGAAACACAGCAGTGTTTAACCTGTGTGAGAGTCGCCTGCGTTGAAGTACTTATGAGAGTAACATGTACTAGGGATGAGTTCCCTGAAGAATGCAGAGTTTTGTTGGTATATGCATGGAGACCACAAGCCACATATGGCCCGGCCACATCCTTCATCTGCTTCGGTGGCTGATTGTGTCAGTCCCTCCGACACAAAACATAAATTTTTAAAACCTATCCTATCTCACTATGATTCTGATATAATGGCCTTAGGAGTAGTCCTCTTTGATGTTTTTGCTGATGAGGGACCAAGTTCCACTGAAGTAGATTTAGATCTGTGATCACTAGGGCTGCAAAGAATACACTTTGAGGCGAATACGATTTGTATCACAAATATAGGGTAATGAATACGAATATTAATTCAAGAATACAATAACAAGTCAGCAGCTATAACAACATAAATTATTTGACATGTTTTGTTAATATATTATACATTTATATACTGCACTTATCCAGGTACTAGTATCTGCTCAAATGCGACAATGACCAGTTACACAATACTGTCAAAGTAAATAGTATAAGAGTGTTGTCTTTGAAGAAATCTATGCATATAATATGTTCTTAATCTTATGGGTATTTTTATGTAAATGCACATGCTTGCATATTCATAAATATTCAACACTAGTGGCCACGGATAACGAATTCAATTCATGAATGGATACGGTTTGATTCACCGAATACACGAGTGAATCGTAACAGCCCTTGCGATCACTTTCCCGACGGTCACACTTGCGTTTATGAAATCAGCAGCAGACTGTTCATTGCATTTGGTACATCTGTTGCTATCTGTGCAGCTGCCACGGAAATCGCGACACTTCAGATAGTGATCACGTGCAGAGACGTCTGTCTTGCACTGATCACAAACTGTGGGTGTTTTTGGTTATCAATGGCAAACTTCCTACGTGAGGTATGCAGAAACAAAAAAACAAAATACATTCTCTTCAATTCAAAAACTGTTTTCACACAATCTCAAAAAAGAATGAGTAAGCTGGGGACGTCACATGATCAGGCTGCACAGAACATTGTCGCTTCAGCCATTGTTGGTGATGGTAACCATGGTTACGGGTGGGAAGTGTTTGGGCGAGGTGTTTTTTTTAATCTGGAAACTTGTTTGAGGATGGTTTCCACTCAAAGATCGGAGAAGAAGAATGAAACATGAAAAAATGCATAGTGCGAGATAGGATAAGTATCATAACTATACAATTAATTAGAAATTTCCAATACTTTGGGTAATCAAGGATGAAATTTAATTTAGTTATTTCTATCATTCCAACACTGGTACTCGCAGTGGTTACATATGCACCCATTCATAAATTTTAGGGTCATAGAATGCTATGTTTTGTGTCCGTTAAGCACTGCATTCTCTATCCGATATCTTTCCACCAAGACACGGAGGAGGCAAGGAAGCAAGAACTGTTGTATGTTGTCAATGCGGCACAATACCCATGAAGATCCAGGTCAGAATAGGTCTTCACAAACCCATGCTTGTCGTAAGAGGTGCCTAAAGGGATCAGGTGGTCAGGCTTGTTGGCTGTGTTGATGCATGTGATTGTATCCCAATTGCGTAGATTGATGTTTGTGATACTAATCACTGGATTATCAGCAACAAACAAACCATGCTGCACGAAGGATAGACATGAAGATGAATCTGGATGTAACTGTGGTGTTTCAGGTCAGAAGCGGAGGAAGGTGGCACACACAGCGCTGAATGCTGAGTCTAGTCGTAGCCACAGTGTCTTCAACATCCGACTTGTGCAGGCACCGGTCGACCCACGGGGAGGGGATATTCTCCAGGTAATTTGTTTTTCCTCACTCAGCACCAAAGTGTTGATGACCGTCCTGATGTTGTCCCTATTATATGCGATTTGCGTACATTTTTACATTCTGCAAAGTGATCTTACCCTGACAATTGATCATCTTGACGTTTTATTAAGAAAACAGCCAAGCTCATCCTCAGAACAAATGTTTTTTCTGATCTACTCAAAATGTTACAGAAATTGTTATGTGGCTCATGAAAGAAACCTTTAGACATTGTGGTCTCAGTTGAGTGGTTTGGCCATATTCAAACACTATAGAACTAAGGCCAGTTTTTGTTTTTCTTGTGTTCAAATATTTTTAGGTAGGAAAAGAATAAAAACAATTAGATACAATTTGGGTATGATGTTACACAAACAACCAAGTCACTGAGTTGACCTGTAGTCATTTCTAACTACCAGTATAAGTCAGGGGTCAATATAACTGCTTTCCTATTAGCCCATTGGCCCGTGGCCAGTAAAAATTACAAAGGGCTTGCTGAAACTTAAAGTAGATGGTTCATCTAGCTAGTCTAAATTTCACCCCTTCTCCGTGTATGTTTAATGTTTTTATTGGATCATGTCAGTAGAATGACAACAGGAAGCTATTTTGTAACAACTTTATTTGCTCATAAATCGCCATGAACAAACGTTTCAGGGTTGAGGAGTTCTCAATTTCATAGATCCCTGACAGGTGGCAACATTGTGGCCTCCACCTTTGAGTTGTAGGCCTGTTAGTTTGAAGAACTGAAGGGCCAGTAACTTTTTAAAGGAGCAAACTGGTTGTTTAATCTATCCCTGTAAGTGCTGGGGACCAGTTCAAACCCATGAGGGGCGGTCGGGTAGCCAAGTGGTTAAAGCGTTCGCTCGTCACGCCAAAGACCCGGGTTCGATTCCCAACATTGGTACAATGTGTGAAGCCCATTTCTGGTGTCCCCCGCCATGATACTGCTGCAACTCACATCAAACCCATGATTTTGTTTTGCCCCCTCATCACACGCATAACTTGTAAGCATGCATACATTCTCAGGCTGTATGCGTATCGGACACACTAGTTTACATGTGGTACGCCCCTGACTCCCTGACACTGTTGCAGGACCCGGAGTACGTGGTTGTGAGTCAGCTGTCGCTGGTCGACCTGGCGGGGAGTGAGAGAACAAACAGGACGAAGAACTCGGGGGAGAGACTGAAGGAAGCAGGTATGTCTCCCAGGGTCTCAAAGTCTTGGAGAAGGACTTAGTTTGAAGTCAGCCTTAAGAGGCCTTGAAAATAGAGATTATTATACGAGACATGGTCATACAGATTTTACGAAACCAGTGTCAGAATTCTTCTATTTCCCGAATGAGGGTAATACATGCATTTTCACACTTGTTTCATAGAATCAGTATGACACTTGCAAGTGTACTAATTTCTTTATTAGCCATTATTTCTTAATCTTTTTGAGCTCACCTTAAGAAAATGCACTGATTTCGCTATATCCAAGCTACACCAGTGCAGTCTAAACACTGCTAGTGCAATAACTAGTGCTTAACTTGCTTAACAATAAACAATTAATGTTTTGAATAAACAAAACAGGATCATGAACATTGATACTACATTTCATATATCTGACAATCGTATGCAACCAACCATGTTGGATTAACAGGACTTGACTGTAGAGTGTTTCAATTTGTGATAGAATAGAGATAGATAGAATGCAGCTAATATTAAATTTGTGCAACCTAATTAATTCACTTGGTTGAAGACCCGTGAAGATCCAGGGTAGAATAGATCTTCAGCAACCCATGCTTGCCGTAAAGGCAACAATGATTGTCGAAAGAGGTGACTAACAAGATCAGGTGGTCAGGCTCGCTGACTTGGTTGATGCATGTCATCAATCCCAATTGTGTGGATCGATGCTCATGATATCAATCACTGGATTGTCTGGTCCAGACTTGATTATTTATAGAACGCCATCATATAGGTGGAATATTGCTGAGTGCGGTGTTAAGCAACAAACAAATCAACCACACCAACCAATTTGGTTGCACCTGGTGCAGGTGGTAAAACAGAATGAAATCATACCTCTTTGCTCCCGTAATATATTTCCACTTTCTGCTTGTCTTGTTTCCAGGGAACATCAACCAAAGTTTAATGGTGCTCAGAAACTGTATCGAGGCCCTGAGAGAGAATCAGACCAACGGGACCAGCAAGGTATGTGTACGGATAGTACCGTATTTGACGTAATAAGCGCCCAGGGTGCTCTCAAAATTAGAAATAGGGGGCTCTTATTAGAATATTATTTTGGTGAAAAAATAACAGAGTTGAAAGATAAATTTCATGGTTATGCTGACAGCCTGAAATGTTTATGTACGACAGATATGTTTTTCCAGAATTTTATTGCCCATAATTAAGGGTGCATATAACACACGAGTGTGTATTATATGCGAATAAATTAGTCTTGTGTACATTGATCAATCGGAAGGGGTGCTAATTGGGATTGTTCACCAGCCAATATATCAGCAAATGTCACCGTGGGCGCTTATTAGAGCAGGGCTCTTATTACGTCGAATACAGTAATTTAATTTTGAATCAAGTGTGCAGGGGGCACTCGGTAAGATGCTCATGTGTTCCATGTTGAATTAAGTTACCCAAGAAGAAATACACTTGATCCATCCCTAGCTAGATTAGCAGGTGTAAGTTGAAATGTTGGCACCTTTCCTTTCACTGAGATTGTATAATCCCTTCCCACAGGTTTTTGTTGTGGATCATCATATATTATAAGGGTAACCCTATTTTACAGGGCATTATAATTTGCAGAAGCCCGAGGTCTTCCATTAACTGCCTGACGAAGAAGGGCTGTTGAAGAGACCGAGGGCTTCTGCAAATGATAATGCCCTGAAATATAGCGTTACCGTTACGCGTATAGCTAAAATGGACAGAATTTGTTATTAAATAAAAAGAAACAACAATGTTGGTTTAGAAAAATTTACTGCAATCGACACGAATATCACTGACCCACTTTTACAAATATGGAAACGTCATAGAACAAACCAGATGATGTCACTATTAAACGTGATGTCACCTATCCCTATCCCCATGACGTCACCTAACAACGGGTGTGATAATGGCCCGTCGTCCAGCAATATGAGGGCATTATCAAGTTACAGTGGCCCGCTCATTTCTGATAGCATCAGGGTGGTTTAATGATAATTCTAACCATTTAAGCTGTAATAAATTGAATATTGTGTATTTCAGATGGTGCCGTACAGGGACTCGAAGGTGACCCACTTGTTCAAGAACTACTTTGACGGGGAGGGCAAGGTGCGGATGGTCGTCTGTGTCAACCCCAAGGCTGAAGAATACGACGAAACGATAGTAAGCATGTGTGCCCTTCATACATTGTAATGTAGAGTTCAAGGAGTAATGGGGTATCCTAGGTTCACTCATCACTCTGAAGACCCGGGTTCGATTACCTGCATGTGTCTCCCATGATATTGATTGAATATTTCTGAAAACAGGTTCAAATCCAACTCACACAGTCACTCTATTCCACCTAAGTGGATATCAACACACAATGCTATTCAGACAGTGGTCAGGAGTAACAACTGTTAGGATTACACTTTTTAAGTAAAATACAAATTCTAGTACTTTCTTGGGTTGAATCCTGTTGCCATCACACAAAGTCAGCGAACTTACCCACTCAGCCACCGAGCCTCAGCCACTCAGCTGGCGATGAGGTGCCTCAGCCACTCAGCTGGTGATTATGTGCCCAAACCACTCAGCTGGCGATTAGGTGCCTCAGCCACTTAGCTGGCGATTAGGTGCCTCAGCCACTCAGCTGGTGATTATGTGCCCAAACCACTCTGCTGGCGATTAGGTGCCTCAGCCACTTAGCTGGTGATTAGGTGCCTCAGCCACTCAGCTGGCGATTAGGTGCCTCAGCCACCCAGCTGACGATTAGGTGCCTCAGCCACTCAGCTGGCGATTAGGTGCCTCAGCTGGCGATTAGGTGCCTCAGCCACTCAGCTGGCGATTAGGTGCCTCAGCCACTCAGCTGGCGATTAGGTGCCTCAGCCGCTCAGCTGGCGATTAGGTGCCTCAGCCGCTCAGCTGGCGATTAGGTGCCTCAGCCACTCAGCTGGCGATTAGGTGCCTCAGCCACTCAGCTGGCGATTAGGTGCCTCAGCCACTCAGCTGGCGATTAGGTGCCTCAGCCACCCAGCTGACGATTAGGTGCCTCAGCCACTCAGCTGGCGATTAGGTGCCTCAGCTGGCGATTAGGTGCCTCAGCCACTCAGCTGGCGATTAAATGCCTCAGCCACTCAGCTGGCGATTAGGTGCCTCAGCCACCCAGCTGGCGATTAGGTGCCTCAGCCACTCAGCTGGCGATTAAATGCCTCAGCCACTCAGCTGGCGATTAGGTGCCTCAGCCACCCAGCTGGCGATTAGGTGCCTCAGCCACCCAGCTGGCAATTAGGTGCCTCAGCCACTCAGCTGGCGATTAGGTGCCTCAGCCACCCAGCTGGCGATTAGGTGCCTCAGCCGCTCAGCTGGCGATTAGGTGCCTCAGCCACCCAGCTGGCGATTAAGTGCCTCAGCCACTTAGTGGGCGATTAGGTGCCTCAGCGACCCAGCTAGCGATTAGGTGCCTCAGCCACTCAGCTGGCGATTAGGTGCCTCAGCCACCCAGCTGGCGATTAGGTGCCTCAGCCGCTCAGCTGGCGATTAGGTGCCTCAGCCACCCAGCTGGCGATTAGGTGCCTCAGCCACTTAGCGGGCGATTATGTGCCCAAACCACTCAGCTGGCGATTAGCTGCCTCAGCCACTCAGCTGGCGATTAAATGCCTCAGCCACTCAGCTGGAAAAAAAGGTGCCTCAGCCACTCAGCTGGCGATTAGGTGCCTCAGCCACCCAGCTGGCGATTAGGTGCCTCAGCCACCCAGCTGGCGATTAGGTGCCTTAGCCACTCAGCTGGCGATTAGGTGCCTCAGCCACTTAGCTGGCGATTAGGTGCCTCAGCCACTCAGCTGGCGATTAGGTGCCTCAGCCACTTAGCGGGTGATTAGGTGCCTTAGCCACTCAGCTGGCGATTAGGTGCCTCAGCCACTTAGCTGGCGATTAGGTGCCTCAGCCACCCAGCTGGCGATTAGGTGCCTTAGCCACCCAGCTGGCGATTAGGTGCCTCAGCCACCCAGCTGGCGATTAGGTGCCTTAGCCACTCAGCTGGCGATTAGGTGCCTCAGCCACTTAGCGGGCGATTAGGTGCCTCAGCCACTCAGCTGGCGATTAGGTGCCTCAGCCACTTAGCGGGCGATTAGGTGCCTCAGCCACCCAGCTGGCGATTAGGTGCCTCAGCCACTTAGCGGTTGATTAGGTGCCTTAGCCACTTAGCGGGCGATTAGGTGCCTCAGCCACTTAGCGGGCGATTAGGTGCCTCAGCCACTTAGCGGGCGATTAGGTGCCTCAGCCACTCAGCTGGCGATTAGGTGCCTCAGCCACTTAGCGGGCGATTAGGTGCCTCAGCCACTCAGCTGGCGATTAGGTGCCTCAGCCACTTAGCGGGCGATTAGGTGCCTTAGCCACTCAGCTGGCGATTAGGTGCCTCAGCTGGCAATTAGGTGCCTCAACCTGAGAGTGGTTCGAATCCCGGATGGGACTCAACCCCCCAAAACTCTAGAACTTGTACTTGTACTAAGAAAGCGTAATCCCAAATATAACATTCGTTATTAGATATCATAACAGAATGTACCCCGAGGGAATTCCTGGTGAGAATGTAGGTCCCCGGCAACCTAGGCTGGTCATATGAGGCGACCAAATGGACTGTCACTTGGTTGATTGTTTTCCACAATATCGATCTCTGGATTGTCTGATCCAGATTGATATATTTACAGACTGCCATCATATAGCTGGAATATTGCATGCTTTATACAATAAAGAAACAAAGAAACCACTGGTTTGTCTGTTCCGAACATCACATTATAATGAATGGTAACTCTGGTTTATTCAAACAGCATGTAATGAAGTTTGCGGAGATGGCACAGGAAGTGATGGTTACTAGGCAACAGCAGGTTCAGTTCAGCGTCCGTAACCAGCAACTCAAGGATGCCATGGCAGAGGCGGAAGCAGCTAAAAGTGAGAAAAACAGCAAAATATCAACTTCAGGGATACCCGTTATTTTTTTTGTCTGTAATCCCTACGCCTATTTGTACTGTCATCTTTGCTTTGTCCACGCCATTAGCGGTTTGCTGGTATCATCAGTGTGAAACACATCTCACTTCGGACGTTCTAACATTAACTGATGCCATTATATACTGAATACTGTTCAAAATGGTGTTAAACCCAACTCATTGGAAGATGAGCTTAGGCAGATGAGCTTCAGCAGGAAATTAACTGCTTTTTTTAGTTTTACGTTTGTGGCCACAATGCCAAGATGCCATAGGCAACATCAAAAGAATTGGTATCCCAATCATCTAGGACACCCCTACTCCGTGCAAGGAGTTGCCTCCCTTGAGTCGACTACAGAAAACGGGAGTGGCTCAAACCTCATGTCTCGCCAAATTATGAACTAAATGTCAGGTAGACAAGAGGGAACATCTAGTCATTGTTTTGCTCATCTTATCCAAGGCACACTCAGTTCCATCATAACACTGTGGGTATTCGGGGTTAAAAGTGGTCCCCACCAAACTAGGCTGGCCGTAGAGACGACCAAATGGATCTCGTGGTCAGACTTGGTGACTTGCTTGATTGATGGATGGATCCTTGATCACAATATCAGTCACAACGTCTGACTCAATAATTTACAGGCCACTGCCATATAGCTATAATACTGCTGAGCATGGCGTCAAACAACAAACGGGGCGGTCGGGTGGCCTATTGGTTAAAGCGTTCGCTCGTCATGCTGAAGACCTGGGTTCAATTCCCGACATGGGTACAATGTGTGAAGCCCATTTCTGGTGTCCCCCGCCGTGATATTGCTGGAATATTGCTAAAAGCAGCGTAAAACCAAACTCACTCACACTCACTCACTCAAACAACAAACAAACAAACAAATAGTTATATCATAGCAATGAAAGAAAAGGCTGAAAACATTGACCGATCATCATCAACGATGATCAGTTTTCTCAACGCCTGGGGTGCTTAATATGGCGAATATGGTAGCTGGAATAAAATTGCTGACTGTGGCACAAAACAGCAGTCTCTCTTATCTGCCATTACTGTAGGTTTACACTGTCTATTACAGAGGTGGAGGCCGCCCCATTGCCAGCCCTGGACTACTGTCTCGGACCCTCATTCCCGCCTACAGAGGTAAGTTGTCACTGCTGTTGCCATAGTTACAGGCTGTTTAGATGTTTAATCAAGAGTTTTCAATCTCCATTAGCTTTTATTCGGGAGACATGTCACCTTCACAAATTAACACAGAAATTGCTTTCGTAAACAGTTATTAGACCTGATACAGTGCTTAAAAAGCCTTTTATTACAATGCAACTTGGTACAATCCATCCTCTATATCTCCAGGGCTCGCATTTCGGTAAACCTACTCTAACGATCTGATAAATATATCTATGTGATGGCACGTGGTCCTATGCACAGCGCACCGGTCATAATTCAGGTCAATTTAAGCAACATCCGTAGCGGCGAGTCCTTGGGCTCACATACAATTTTTATTCCTAATTTATGATATTTACAATGCAAAAATACACTCAGCTAATAATATCTGTTTCCCTGCTATTATTCATCTTCTGAAACAAGTTCCTCGACCATCATTGTGAGACGGTACTTTGACACCTGTCTGTTTCAGCTGCTACACGCGGGGGACGACAAGACACTGTTCACCATGGGCTGTTTCCTGGAGGAGCGGTACAAGCGCCGACACACCCTCATCCTCGACCTCACACGCAGGGGTTAGTCAAACATTAGCAGTATAACAAAGCTCCAGTTTGTTCATAGATTTTTAGGGGGCACAGGTGGCCGTCTAAGGCGCCGTGATACGCTGCGCAGGGTTGCGTCCCTTGGGCACGCAAGAAACCTATGATTGTGGGTTTGAATCACGGTTCGTCCCGATTATGTTTCTAGGTTTGTCAGCACCATATCCATGCTCGTGGGTTTCACCGAAGTGGTAAACGTCTGTTACCTGCATCACTTCGGGCTTTCCTCCCACATTAAGCTGACATGCTGTTATATAACTGGAATACTGTTAAAAGCGGCATTAAACCCAACTCACTCACTCACTCATAGATTTTTAAGTTGGCTGATGCCTTATTTCTCTCTTTACTGCCTTAATGTGCTTTTGTCTGAATATAGAATGTTGTCTTGGTGACACAATTGACCACAAATTTGCAACCTGTCATGCGCGTGGATCAGTGCTGGTGATTATTTACAAACCGCCGTCAAATACAGCTGGAATATTGCGAGTGCAGTGTTAACAACAAACATCCCAACATCACTTAAATCCCAATTTGGGATTAAAAAAACTGGGACTAGGAAACGAAATGGCTACTGACTGAGTGATGTTTGTGTAGAGGATGACTTCCGTGCGGAGCTGGTCGAGATGGAGCGTGAGTACACGGAGATGCAGACGAGGCTGGAGGAGTTGGAGACGATGATGACGAAGAAGGACCGCGACCTCCAGAAACTTGAGACCAAGAACAGGCAGCTGGAGAAGAAGAACACCGACCTCTCCCGCCGGAACCAGGACCTGGAGCGGGAGTCCCAGACACTCGGACTCAAGGTCAGATCTCACACACTCACAATCGCTATTAGACCGCCTTCGTGGCCCAGAGGTCCGGGGTTTGATCCCTGGCCGCATCATACCAAAAGATGTTAAAAGATGGTACTTGTTGTTACCCTGTCTGGCGCTCGGCATTAAGGGGCTAAAACAAGGACTGGTCTGCTTGGAATCAGTATAGTGTTTGAGGGGATATTCATGTTAAACTGCGGCATGGTATCTCAGTGGGCTAGCACTATAAATCGGCATCAGCCCGGACTAGTACAAGCAGCCACACACACACACACGCTATATAAGTGCAATAATCTTGGTCACGACTTTAAACTCCATTGCACCTCACCTCACAATAGCTATCATAAGTGTTGACTGCCTCTGTGATCAAGGAGAGCGGAAGGTTGGTGTTATGATCCCCGACCGTGTCATCCCAAAAGATGTTAAAAGATGGGTACTCTGTCAGGCCCTGGGTGCCGTTGTACCAAACAACCTTAGCGCTACGACTGTCGTAAGTCTGGTATGGGAGTTACGATCACCTTAGCGCTAAGATCGCTTTGTACAACGACCCCCTGGTCATTAAGGGGCTAAAACAAGGACTGGTCGGCTTGGAGTCAGTATACTGGGTCCGACTGGGGTATCATACATGGTAAGAAATTAACACTGGGCTGCTAGCTTCCCAATTACCTCATTGCTTTAACATTACAAGGGTATTTTATCTTTACCCGGTCTAGTAAAGGTTTTGAGGTGAGTTCTAACCCTGCAGTATCCATTTTAAACTTGGCATGGTATCCCAATGGGCCAGCACTATAAATCTCATTAGCCCAGTCTCGTACAAGCAGCCACATCCACACACATGCACGTTGCTATATAACTGCAGTAATCTCGTACCCCGTTTCGTCTCCCCTCACCTGTATCCATGCCTCTATGGGTAACATGTCGCTCTGATGTTGTTTCAGCTGCAGGACAAGAACTGGAAGATACAGGTGGAGAAGACGGAGAAGGAGAAGATGAAGAGCGACTTCCGCAACCGTCTGGACATGCACAGCCAGCAGTGGGAGAAGAACATGGTGGGTACAATGTGCAGGGGTTGGAGATTAGCATCCTGTCGGGATTCCCAGTATTCGTTTGTTGTTGGTTGTACTCAGATTAACTGAAATAATCGAAGATTGATCGAAAGGTCCAAACAACCAAGGAACCCAACACACTTTCCATAATAGAACACAAGACGGTGATCAGATGAGGCCAGTGTCTTTTTTAAACACTAAGTGCTGAAGTAAGAAGTTGTGTTTGTTTTTGTTGGCTAGGGTGTAGTTTTGTAGATGTAAGATTAAGAAACAACAAAATGAATGATTTATTTCTGTTTCAAATCGGTCAGGATCATCCAATCATTAATCATGTTTTTTCAACCAGTGAGAGTCTGTAAAATAATCTGATGATTAATATTGTGAGCAAAGATTCATTCTTTCCAGGTACAATGACATGCAATTGACCAATTCCCTGAACCTGACCACCCGATTCATTTGGTACCCACGTATGACCAGCTTTTTTTGCTGCGGACCAATTCCAACTTGAGATCCCCACAAGGGGATTCCCGGTGTGAAATGGGCTCACAGTGCCTTATGGGGATCTAGAGGCTATAATCTGTGTCCTGCCCAATGGCGTTTGATCGGTGCTCATGCTATCAACCACTGATTGGCCTGAGCTTTCATACCTTGAGAATGTCATCTTTTTATTGCAAATGTCGTGATAAGTGATACCAGATATGGTGTCTCTAAAACGTTCTCACTGAAGTCTGATGTGATTCTAACATGGCCGTCATGGTGGCCAAATTGAACATGAGACCCGTGAAGATTCCGGTGTAGAATAGGTCTTTAGCAACCCATACTTGCCGTAAAAGGCGACTATGCTTGTCGTAAAAGGCGACTGACGGGATCGGGTGATCAGGCTCGCTGACTTGGTTGATACATGTCATCGATCCCAATTGCCTGGATCGATGCTCATGATGTCAATCACTGGATTGTCTGGTCCAGACTCAATATTACAGACCGCCGTCATATAGCTGAAATATTGCTGAGTGCGGCGTTAAACAACAAACCAACCAACCAACCAATATTGAACATGCCATCTTTTTATTGCAAATGTCTTATATAGAGGATATTATATTCGTGTTCATGTCATACTATGTTTACGACACGAGTGTCTAAATTCCGGCATTTAGGCACGAGTGTCGTAAACATAGTATTACAGGAACACGGATAATGTTATTTATTACTGAAGATGTCTACAGACAGAGACAAATTTTAGTGTTTACCTGTAAGGACAGCAATGAATGACGTTGTTTCTAGTGTGACGTCATTCCGACCTCACGTCACAATACGATTTGAATGCCATCAACAATGCTGTCTTGATGACGGAAACAATACACTGTTTTCCTGTGATGTGATATGAACCCTCATATGTTTGCCCTTGTAGTTAATAAGTAGCAAATGTGTTGTTTTTCTACACAGCATATTTGATTTTTCACGAAGCAACGATCAGAATGTGTGCACTTGTTTCCATCAGTGATTCACTCACTCACTCACTCACTCACTCACTCACTCACTCACTCACTCACTCACTCACCCACTCACTGTCTCTCTCACTCACTCACTCACTCACTCACTCACTCACTCACTCACTCACTCACTCATTCCAGGAAAAGGAGAGAAGGAAGGTTGCGGTCCAGGCAGGAGCAGAGATCCAGGAACGAGATCGCAAACTGAAGATGCTGGAGAACATAGTCAACCAGAACAGTAAACCCATGGTGACGCCTCGTCGCCCGGCGCCCAAACCCCGCACGTACACCACCCCTGGCTACATCACTCCGGCCAGGTCAGACACAGACGTGTCGCGGGTTGGCGTGGGGGGCACTGGGCGGATGACCAGGGCCACAGCGGCTGGAGTAGGGTCAGCTAAATCCATGTACAACCTCAACCATGTGTCTTCTACCGCCAAGCCAGTGAGTAGTGCTTCATTCACACTTCAAAATACTTGCATAATAATTTGCATATATATAATCCACACCCTAAAGTGCAACAGTAATACCGTCAAAAGTTCCTGTGCCCTCGATTGTCATTCTCAGCTCCCTGGGGAGTATACAACCAAAGGACCACGTGCCACCACATTCTCATGGCAGAGGCGGCCCAGTCATGTAAATGACGAATTTGCTGTGCAGATTTTCTTCCCTGAGGCATACAAGAATCTTTGTTTTTTTCGGGTATTTTTTTCGTATGTTAACAGGGCCACCCGTGTCCCCCTTTTATTAATAACATAACTATGACACAACAGTAGTTTTACTGCCTTCACAGTGGCATGGGTGGCCCAGTCGTCTGAGGTGCCGCGATTCGCTGTGCAGAGTTGCATCCCTTGTGCACGCCAGAAACCTATGATTGTGGGTTCGAATCCCATTCACCCCAATTATGTTTCTAGGTTTGTCAGCACCATGCCACACCAAACCATGCTCATGGGTTTTCTCCCACATTAAGCTGACACGCCGTGATATGACTAGTATACTGTTAAAAGCTCCCCTACACCCAACTCACTCACTCACTCACTAGATGTCTGTCACTTTGTTTGCTCCAGCGGCCACCGGCATACAACACACGGAATCATCGGAGATCTAAGTCGTCCTCTAACGCAGAAGTGTGGTTGGACCACAGACCGAATGGAGATGTTGAGATGGGTAAGTCTGTTTGAGAAAACAGATCTAGAGTCCAGAGAACCAAAGACCAAGTGTTTGATAGTCACGCCAAAAGTCTGGGCTAGTACAAGCAGCCACACACATGCATGCGGCTATATAAGTGCAGTGATCTTGAATGCCATTAACTGTGATCAACCCCATTTCACCTGACCTCACCAGACCTCACCTGACCTCACCTGATGTTGTAACTGAAATACTGTTCAATGAGGAATTATAAACCATGCATGTAATCAGTGCTACTGTCTTCTAGATTCGGTGCTTCAACCGAAGATGGGGAAGAAGAGGTCAGTGTCCAAGCTGGAGTTGAAGGACACAAAGGAGGCGTCGAAATATGTGCTGACCACACACGAGATGGACTCGGAGGGAGAGATGGCCACGAAGCTGGTCAAGGTGGGTGCATCTCCAAAACTTTGTCATCTTACTTTATATATATATGTAAACAAAAGTCAGTGATTTTGCAAGAGGCAAAGAGCATCAGGACATTTTCATGATTGTGTCACGTTTTGACAGGACACTCTTCCATATGATTACTAAATTGAACAAATATCTTCAGGACATTTTGAATGACGCTGAGTCAGTGTCCAAGAAATTTAACCATTATGAAACCAAAAAACTCTTTTCCCAGCATGTTTATTTATTTACTGCTTTTTCCCAGGGTAGGGTGATGCGGTTGTCAAATCAGCTGTTACACTCAGTGGTGGTTATTGTGATTTGAAACCTCTGAATTGAGTCTTTGTCCAAATTCATGGTAGGGTGCTAATTTTCTGTTGTTTTTCAGGGTACGGTGATGCCGACTGCCGGAGGGGGTACGGCTGTTGTGTTCAACGATGTGGAGACGTTACGTCACACTGCACCGGGGACAAGGAAGAGGAGGAGCTCATGTCCGCAGCCTCAGGACTTTGACGGGGACTGGACGGACACCGAAACACGGTGCAATATAGCCCTTGAGGGGCACGGAAAGTAAGTACAATGAATCACATACATGAGTTTGGTGTGGTCGCTGTACCTGGTACAAAGATCGCAGAGGATGGACGAGGTCTAGAAAGTGGCAGTCTGATCCTTAAAAGGCCTTATATTTATGAAAGTTGTCAGATATGTTGACATGAATGATAAGTAGACTTTGTTCTTTTCATGTAATGCATGTTTTGAACCTGACAACATCACTGTATGAATGTATGGCTAAAATGTCTTCGGCTTAAGCTGATTTTCTTAGATGGAAGTGAAGAGTAAAGACTGTACAAACATATGGTAAAAAGTTCATGGTGGGTCATGGGATATCTCATAGATGGATTGACCCGTGAAGATCTGCGATAGAATAGGTCTTCAGCAACCTATGCTTGCCGTAAAAAGTGACTATCCTTGTCGTAAGAGGCGACTAACTGGATTGCGTGGTCAGGCTTGCTGACTTGGTTGATGCATGTCATGATGTCAAACTTTGGTTTGTCAACCATGTGTCTTCTACCGCCAAGCCAGTGAGTAGTGCTTCATTCACACTTCAAAATACTTGCATAATAATTTGCGTATTAAAATTCCACACCCTAAAGCATGCTCAAAGTGCAACAGTATTCCCCGTCGATTGTCATTCTCAGCTCAGCAACCAAAGGACCATGTGCCACCACATTCTCATGGCAGAGGCGGCCCAGTCATGTTAATGACGAATTTGCTGTGCAGATTTGCTTCCTTTTTTGGGGACCAAAAAGTCTGGACCAGACTCGATTATTTACAGACCACCGTCACATAGCTGGAATATTGCTGAGTGAGACGTTAAACAACAAACAATCATAGATAGATTCTACCATGAAGTTGGAACAATAGTCCTTTAACATTTGTTTTGGCCAAACATGATTGTATGGAAGTACTCCCCTGGGCCGTGAAAGGTTGTGACGTAATGGGATGTCCGGATATCTTTGTCTAGTGGTAGCAAACACAAACATCTGATTTTAATGAAAAAACTTTTCACATTTGTAACACATTTAAAGTATGCCTGATGAATCTTTCTCTGTTTCAGGCGAACCAAAGCGTCGGCTGTGTGATAAGTTGTGAACTCGTGTTTTGCGTGAGTTTCTCCGCTGAGGTTGAACAATATTGCCTACCTCTGCTTCAGGCACATGGCTGTGAAGTGGATATTGGGATGGTTTCAATTGATAACAAATGTGCTTAGAAACCAACACAACACGCCGTGTCAACGAGTGTTATTTTTAGATTGTTATGCATTGTGACTGCTTGGAACCCTTACATCCCTCATCTGACAATTACCTGGTACTTTTCGATGAGTGATATCTATCGTCACATCAGCATCACTTCGCTGTACCAAATTGAGACGGGTTACAGATGACAAGAAACATACTGTAACTAACAATGACTTTGTGTACAAGAAGGTGAAGTAGCGTGTGTGAACAATTGCGTTTTGCAAAGGCTTGAAATGAAGTGATGGTGGACAGTTCAACAGACCTATCCTCCAATCTGTGTATCACTTTCTTTTTCTTAAATGTGGTTTGCTTCATCCTGAGACGTATAGTTGTCATTAAAAAATCTGATATCTCTTTTTTAGTCTCCAGTGCTGGTCCACAAAGCGATCTCGGCACTATGACTGTGTTGATTAATGGAGTTACAATTGTCTTAGTGCTAAGATCGCTTTGTGGAATGGATCGCCTGATTGAAATATTGTCATCTATTGGCTAAATCCTTTGCAACAAGGAGTTTGCTGTCAGTATTCAGAAAATGTAAAATAATAAGTCAAAAGAACATGTCCATGGAAAGTTTCTTACACAGAAACTTGCTTGACAACCGCGAAACATCATTTTTAAACAGTTGCACCTGCTACAAATATTGCAGTTTTTTGTATTCTGTTGAAAGCAAACCATATAAAAAGACTGACATTTCGCACTTTCATTGTTGGACCACTTGATTCTGAAATTACTGGTCCTTCTTGATTGTTGCTAGTATTTGTCCAGTGGGCCAGCGTATTTGTAACATCCTCATGTATTGAAGTACCAGGTGGGTGCAGCGACACATGTATGTATACTGACATATCAGTTTTAGCGATGCTTTCATCTAGTGTGTATATGAGAATAGTTATGTTGTATAATCATGTGTATAATTTAGGCATAAGTCGACTTCTCCGTCTTTCATACTTGCATAGCTGGAATAGCTGGCAATAGTAGTTTCAGAGAGCACTTCTCAATCATTTCCTCTGGTTTTTTTTCTTTTTCTTGTCAGGTCAATCCTGTCTTCTAAGAGCCTTTCGGGGCATAGGGGGCTCAGTTGTTTAAGGCATTGCAATTCTCTGTGCAGAGTTGCGTCCTCAGCACGCCAGAAACTTATGATTGTGTTTCGAATCCCGGTCCGCCTAGATTATGTTTCTACATTTGTGAGCTACCATGCTCGTGGGTTTCACTGAAGTGGTAAATGTCCGAGACCTGCATCACTTCGGGCTTTCCTCTCACATCAAGCTGATACACCGTGATATAACTGGAATACTGTTCAAAGCGGCATTAAACCCAACAAACTCACTCACTCTAACAGCCCAATGGGATTAATCAAAACTGACAAAATACTCAAGGGATCTTCTCATTCTGGACGTGGCTAGAGTTTATGCTGAGTGACGTGTCTAGGTGGTCCAGTGGTCCAGGTGGTCAGTGTTTGCTAACCAAGACCAAGTTTGATTCCCCACATGGGTATATGAACACCTTAAGTCATCTGCTGAGATATGTAGCAAAAATTGCAATGTAGTGCAGATTACTTTCTTCAGAAATTCTGGTAATAAAAGCTGCACAGCGTTTAATCAAGACCCGGCATTTAGTTGTGGAAATACAGTTTATACAATGACATAATGGAGATGTGTTACACTGGATCATCGGGGACGAAAGGAATGTTAAGTGGATCTTGCTTCTAATCCAGTTCTCATATGGGACAGCTGGTTTATATTGCCGTGGCCATTTATTCAAATATAATATTGAACTTGGTAAAGTATGTTTTAGACTTAAAAAAAATGAAAGAATTGGTTCTCAGGCAATGGCTTTTGAGAATATAGTGCACACAGGCAGGCAGTGTGTTTTTGTTGGGGGGTTGTTCAAGCTAGTATGTAACCATATGCTGGGGTCGTGTGTTTGAGACACAGAATATTTAATTTAAAATGGAAATAAAAACAAAATGTGTGGCAGACTTGATGATGATGTGGGTGGTCACTGAGAACCAAGACTATTTTTTTTTTAGCCTTACAGTTCGTGGGTAAGATATGATTTCGTATTTTCGATATGAACTCACATTAGAGCTGTGTCGTTACTTTCAAATGCCCTGGTTATTCCTTTCAGTAACATGTTACTCAAAAGAAGTTACCTAACACCTCATTTTTCAAATAAAAGGTGACTATGCTTGTTGTAAGAGGCGACTAACGGGATCGGGTGGTCAGGCTTGCTGACTTGGTTGGAGCAGGTCATCGTATCCCAATTGCGTGGATCGATGCTCATGATGTCAATCACTGGATTGTCTGGTCCAGACTTGATTATTTACAGCTGGAATATTGCTGAGTGGAATAATCTGTCATTGCTGGTGGGTATTCCAATTGTGGGTGTTCTTTAACTTGTTTTGAGTAGTATATGATTGACACACACAGGTTGCAATAGTCAGATTCCTACCGAAGTTCTTTTGTCACCATCTGCTTGAAATTGAGGTGGATAAAACAGCCCACATAAAGCTTGATAAATATGTCCTTATATTTGAGGTAGGCGTAATGACGAAGATATGGTGGAGCTCCCCTTGAGACAAGGGATATGGTAGTCAAGCTATGATTCAGTTATCTACATGTACCGTGTCCGGCTGTGGTTGTGTCAATTCACACCCTCCTGGTTTAAACCAAGAATCTGTTGACATGCTTGTCAACAATATTGGCACTTATTCTCTTGTTTCAGGGCAAAAGTAGCCAGGTTGTATTGAACTGTTTATATGACATGAAATATCTGTTCTCACTTCTGTCTCTCAGATCTCGCATCTTTGCATTTTCTTGCCTTTACCTTCTGAATCTCCGACAGTATCTCACACTTCATTGCAGTTCTCTGTCACTCGCGTCCTTATTTTCACCTCATTTATCTGTTTACTCTGGCAGCTTACTGTGTGCCCCATGGTATTGGTTCAAGTTATGAGTTTTTGTTGTATCACCTTCCTAATACAGTTTACCTGCTGCTTATTTACACAGGGGGGAGTGGCTATTTTCTGTGAAAACAGATTATGTCATTGTGTTGGTTGTTCTGAATTCATTTTAACCGTCAGGCTAGCACAGTTTAAAAAAAAATGAAATGAATAGCACGTTATATTTTTCAAACTATTATTTTTATTTGGTAATTGCTTGTTCTGAGCAGGCACTGGGGTTCAGTCATCCAAGGCGCCACAATACACTGCAGCGTTACGTCCATTGGGCACGCCAGAAACTCGTGATCATGGCTTTGAATTCTATTTCCTCCCAATTATGTTTCCAGGTTTGTCAGCACCAAACCCGTTGTGAGTTTGCCCAAAAGCTAAATGTCTGAGACGTGCATCACTTCGGGCATTCCACCCACATGAAGCTGACACGCCCTGATATAACTGGAATACTGTTGAAAGCCGCGTTTAAACCCGACACTCACTCACTCACTCACTCACTCACAGGGGTGTTTTCCCAATACTGAAGAGTTCAAGAGTCCATTATATAACATTTGGTTTGGAGAGTTAGGAAGTTAACTGTCTTGGCCCTGCGAGTGCATATTCCAGAGGCTTGGAGCAGGTGGATGCTGTGTTTGTTATTGTATATATGTAATATAGATATTATGTACACTTATTTATCATGCATACACTAGCGACTGAGGACTATGCAAGCTTGTGATAAAAACACCATTTTTCATGTACCAATGAACACATAGTCAAATAAACATTTTGTAGACATCTTTTTGAGTCTTTTTCATATTTTGAATTGATTATTTCCTCTTCAATTTAGTTTGTCAAATCAATACTGAGACACTTTGAGAACCAAATGTCAAGGCATAATAGAAATAGGAAAACTTTAATATTTGTATTAGAGTTTGGATTAGTGCACACTATAGCTAAAATGGATAGAATTATCATTAAACCGCCCGCATGTTTTAAAAAATGAGGGGGCCAACTGTAACTAGATAATGCCCTCATATTGCTTGACGATGGGCCATTATGTTAGGTGACGTCATAGGGTAGGGATAGATGACGTCACGTTCAATAGTGATGTCATCTGGTTTGTTCTATGACGTTTCCATATCTGTAAAAGATCGCCTCCGTGTTCTAGTGGTAGAGCATCCGCCCGGAGAGAGGAAGGTCCGGGGTTCGATCCCCGGCCGCGTCATACCAAAAGACGTTAAAAGTTTGTACTTGTTATTACCCTGTCTGGGGCTCGGCATTAAAGGGCTAAAACAAGGACTGGTCGGCTCGGAGTCAGTATACTGTGTCTGAGTGGGGTATTCATGTTAAACTGCGGCATGGTATCTCAGTGAGCTAGCACTATAAATCGGCATCAGTCTGGACAAGTACAAGCAGCCACACACATACATACACGTGCATGCACGTCGCTATATAAGTGCAATAATCTTGGATGCGACATAAGCCCAATTTCACCTCACCTCACCATATCTGTAAAAGTGGGTCAGTGATATTCGTGTTGATTGCAGTAAATGTTTCAAAACCGATATTGTTTCTTTTTATTTGAAGACATATTCTGTCCATTTTAGCTATAATAATGGTAACGCTATTTTTTTAGGGCATTATCATTTGCAGAAGCCCTCGGTCTTTTCAACTGCCTTCCTTCGTCGGGCAGTTGATAGAAGACCTGGGGCTTCTGCAAGTGATAATGCCCTGGACAAATAGCGTTGCCCTTATATTATGTACTGAATGCATCAATATAAGGATAAAGCTGTTTTTCAGGGCAGTATCATTTTCCGAAGCCGAGGTCTTCCATTAACTGCCCCACGAAGGAAAAATAGCGTTACCGCTAAAATGGATAGAATTTGTTATCAAATAAAAATAAACAACAAATATTGGTTTTGAAACATCTACTAAACATGTCACTGATACATTTTTACAAATATGGAAACCAGATGACGTCACTATTATAAGGGTAACGCTGTTTTTCAGGGCATTATCATTTGCAGAAGTCCGAGGTCTTCTATTAACTGCCCGACGAAGGAGGGCAGTTGAAAAGACCGAGGGCTTCTGCAAATGATAATGCCCTGAAAAATAGCTTTACCGTTATTATAGCTAAAATGGATGGAATTTGTTATCAAATAAAAAGAAACAACAACATCGGTTTTGAAACATTTACTGCAATCAACACGAATGCCACTGACCACATTTTACAAATATGGAAACGTCATAGAACAAACCAGATGACGTCACTATAATACGTGACGACATTTTCTGTACCCTAAGACGTCACCTAACAACGGGCGTGATAATGGCCCCTCGTCAAGCAATATGAGGGCATTATCAAGTTACAGTGTCCCTCTCATTTCTGATAACATGCGGGCGGTTTAATGATAATTCTATTGCTGAAAGCAAAACTGTCGGGTCCGCTGTTGGAAGATGTGTTCGAGCTCAATCGTCACTTAGTCAAGGAAGCCGATGTCAGTATCACACTCTTCAGATCCAGTCCACAATGTCCACTTGTCTGGAGCTTCTGGGAAAGAGTACAAAACTGAACTGCAAGACGTACCCTGGAAGTCTGCAAGATGAGAATGAATAAAGCCCTGATTCTGGCCCATGCTGAACTGTTTGAGAAGGCCAATGCACTGTATCCTTACATAAAAACGAGCATCAGACAAGCCGGTGTCCCGGTATAAACTCTCCCCCGTACAAATTCTCCCCCCGGAGATTTTATACCGGTACAGATTCTCCCCCGGAGAATCTGTTCTGAAATAAAATCTCCCCCGGGCGGATATGTTTCGCGCCCCCCCTCAGTATAAAGTCTCCCCCCTGATTAATCGGTTTGTTGCAATGTCTTTAAGTACTATATTCTTTAAATAGTTATCTTTAATGTAAGGAGGGTTACCTTTAAAAAATAGATTATGAAATATGGTCATAATGAATTGATATTTCAGCATATTTTATTTGGTAACTGTACCTTCCATCCTAAAATAATTATAAGACATAATCATACCAAACAAATTTGAATGAAATGACTTAATGTAACAAATACATGTACGGTTACTGTTGTAACAGAATTCAGAAATCTTATTAATCCTAGCAAACATTCGGTTTTAACTACGTAAAAACTGTCAACATATCCACGCGCGCCTCCAGCTCAGGCTGTCCGTTTTACTCTGATTTTAGATCTAAAATAATTTCCTTAATACAGGCTACGATTTGAAAATGGTATCAGTGTAATATCAGTGGCTAGAGTATCATGGTGCAAGCAGGTTTCTGTTAAACATACAACATCATAACTATCTAATTCAGCACTGATAAAATCTACTTTGTCTTTAAGACTGCGTACGTTTAGATATATAATCTTTAAATCTGGACTATGCAAAGGTCCTGGATTCGGATGGATATCACCGCAGCCGAAGAGAAAAAGTAAAACTAAGAATGATAATCGGAAATTATATAAGCAAAGTAACCCAAAATAAAGAGAAATGTGTATCATCTTCCCGAAATGATTAGCATGTAGAATAGATTCAAAAACACCCACCACCAGCCTGTATTGAACAACATCAACCGGCATCGTCAAAGCAAAGTATACATGTAATTGTTACAATCGGGCTGGCGGTGAATCTTAATGAAGAACACCTTGTTAAAAAGACACACCGAAACTGATTTGCATAACTGATGACCACAACATATTGCTAAATATCAAAATAGTAAAAATGATACAGTATAACCTCATACTGAAGAGAAAACAAGAAAAACACAGAGAAGTAAAATAGCACGTCATATAGAAATGAGATAAAGTAATCTGAGAAGGGATTCATACGTTATATACAACTTTAACAAAAAAATATTATGAAAAACGAAAGAAAAAGTGCCCCCCCCCCCCGAAAAGAAAGAAACCCCGCAAAATCAATAAAAAATAAAAATCAACAAATAAAAAACAACAACCACACACACACAAGTAACTAAATGTTTTTTTAGATAAATATATAACCCAGAAAAAATAAAGGAGAGATAATTTTTTTAATAAAAAAATACATGAACAAATAAACATTAAAACCTAGAGGAATATGAAAATGTGTAATGCTAAAGCACGAAGACACGATAAACTGTACCAACATTACAATGTTCCCCGATTTGCATGCTTTACCTGGGCTACATACGGGTGATCTAAGTTAGAAATATATGACTGATATAAATTCATTAAACACGGTAATATCGAATATGCTTGGATTATCTTTTTTTTTCAAATGTGCTCCATTCAAGAAAAGTTATAAAGAATTATATATTTACTCTTTTGCTCTTTTATGTAAAAGCTTTTTCACCTTACACATTTTAATTACAGATTCCTTTGTTTTGATTTTAATGCAAACAAACCATGCTTTTGAAATGCTATACAAAAACCATGCTTAAAAGTTCAGCGACTTTGTTTCCATAGTGCGCGGTTTGGCGCGGTTTCACTAACTGCAAACCGCTAGGGGCTAGCGGTTGGTACAACCGCGCAAATCGAAACAGTTCATTTATGATGTAGTATTTCCATTGGCGCGGTTAGGACCGTTCGGCTAAAAAAATTCGAACAGTGCTCGATTATCTTGAACCGCGTGGTTAGCCAAGCGGTTCTACCCGAGCCAAGGGTAATTTTACAGAATAAGGCCTAATATCTTTGAAAATAACCTTGCATAGCGGTTTGACTTGAGGTGCGCCGTTTGAATCTATACAGAGTTTTGTATTACATTTCAACCACCTCACAAAACGGGCCCCAAACCGCGTAGCGAACTGACTGAATGAAAGCGTTTTTCATTCAAAAGAAACACGTCAGAAAGATATATTCTTAATTGAAATATGAATTTTAGGATTTTTAATATAGCTATTGTTGCTTGCATCATTGAAAAGTAAGCTTATAAACGTAATATTAATTTATGAATGTAGTACAAACCAAAAAAATCATTTTCAAACGAACTATTCCAACGTGTCCGTAGATGACTAGCCGCCACTTCATGAGGCTGTCACTGCTGGTGTCAACCCGAGAAAATGGGGCTGGCGTGTCACGCCGAGGTGTTTTCATGTAGGGAGGGCGGTTGTGGGCAACGGGCATGTGAAGTTGCTGCCCATCACACACAATACGTGTACAAATACCTCAAGAGTTAGAACAATTGCTCACCGAATAAAATTAAAACTAAAAACCAAATCACCAATCACCCGAACCCAATAATGGAAGGACTAAATATTTTTCAGTGGAACGCCAACGGACTCACCTCCCACGGCCATGAACTAAAAACTAAATTTAAACTAAATAAAGGCCCTCACATTGCTTGTATCCAGGAAACCAAATTCTCAAAAAAATCCAAATTCACACTACCTAACTACAACTCAGTTAGAACTGACAGGGCTAAACCCAAAACAAGAAGAGCCGCAGGAGAACTAATCATATTTATCAGGGAAGATATAAATTACGAAGAAATAAAAATAGACACGCCAAACCTAGAAGCCAACGGCATTAAAATCGCATTAAATAACCGAAACATAAACATCATAAATATTTACCACTGGGCGGAACAAAAGTCCAACCTGAGGATCTAAACAAACTACTCCAAATAAGAGATAAATCTACTATATTCCTAGGAGACTTTAGCGCTCACCATCCTACATGGAGCATAGATGATAAAATAGATAATCATGGCAAATTAATCTCCGAATGGATAGAAACAAACGACCTAGTACTCCTAAATAGCAACCAACCCACGAGGTACGATAAGATAACCCAAAAAATGTCGGC